CAAAAACTTAATTCCTTTACAGGAGCTGTCCTGTAAGTATTTTCCTCACATCTTAACGTTTTCAAGCTCATTTCTGTTCCTATGTGTGTGGGAAGAGGCTTGGTCTTGCATTTCTGAGTGTTTGGAGCTGCCAGTGTTGCTTTTTATGTACCACTGCAAGACTGTAATCTGAGGTTTTTAGGCTTTTAATTCTCAATTAAAGAGGGAACAAGCACCTTTCAAATTTGATCTCTGTCTTCATACCAGCTTGTGCCCTCACAGCCCATGTGATGATTCCTTTGAAAGCAGTGCAAGGGGTAAGGTTCTTTTGAAGGGAAAGAAAAATTTCTGAAATCCGTGAAAGAATTTAGAATGATCTATGTTGTGTATTCTGAAGGCTTCCCTGAAGTGGAAGTAAGGTAGTGAGAAGACATGAAGGGAAGCTTTTCATTTTCAAATTGCAGTCACAGCCATAGCAATTTATTACATCCAGCTTGCTATTTTTGCCTGTGATGTTTGGAGAAATAAACTCCTTTTAAAATGTAATTTCCAGAGTACTCTTTGTGGTGTCTGCAGTGATTCTGGCTCTATAAATGCTAGGAAATATTGGAAAGTCAAACAGGTATTCTTTCTGGTGCCAGTCAGGTGGGAACTTTGTCAGAGTTCATCATGTCCCTGCCAAGTTGTTAGTTTTTATTCTGGCCATGGTAACTTGAAACAGTATTAAGGATGAAAATTTTCAATGCTCACTTCCTACTGGTGCTGACTTCTTAAATGCAAAACTATTAATAAGAATTTGAGAGTGGAGTGGCCCATAACAGGTACAGGGAAAAGGCGTTGGAGGAGGGAGTTGAAACTCCACTCAACCTCCCACAATTTGTGGCTCAGGAACTTCCTGAGCTAGAGGTGATCTTTCTTTCATGTACTAGTCCTTAGCAATGCCTTTATTTAAAATTCAACTAATCATTTGCCTACTTGGACTTGAAATAATTTTGGAGGCGTATTTATATTGGAGGCCAGGGATAACTCAGAATATATTTCTAAGTATGGATCACCACAGGCAGCACATCGAGCTGTGCTCAGAAACATGAACCTGTATCAGCTGCCTTCGTTATGGTATTACACTTAAGGGGAGAAAGTGAGATGGGAAAATTAAACCCCCCAACCAATTAATGAAACAAAAGGAGTAGACTGTGGATTTATAGCCAGATTTTCCAAAGCATCAATGCTCAAAGCTCACACTGCTGAATAGCTGGATTTTCTAAGCAGCTCAGTGCCGACTTGTGAAGCCTTTTTAAAAATCTGCCTTAGACCCTTAGTGAGGGGTTTCTGAACACTTGGCCTGTAGGTTTGCAGGCTCAGGAGTAATTTCTTGTGCTCTTTGGCCTCTTCCAATGAGCTCCATGTTGTTGAGGTGATGGGGCAGAGCAGGGGGAGGGAGTTGAAGGCAGAGGAAGTAAAGCCTGTGTGAGATTGACCCCACTGGGCATGGACCTTTGACTGGGTGAGGGGGTTACTGCTGCTGCTGTCCCAGCCAAAGGTTCACTGTTCCTGCCTGGAGACCTGTGCTCTCTTCACAGAGGGACTTTTCTTGTTATCTGTTGCTGGAAGTTTGGAGAAGCTGGCTGTCACATTACAACTCACCATCCTCACAGCACACTTTCGCCCAGCTATTTTCAAATCCACACTTCTGTGCAGTGTTCATGGACTTGCTGAGGGATTTTCCAATGATTTGCAAAGCATGGGTGCATCTTGGAGCAGTTTGAGGTGCCAGATCAGCCAGAGGTACAGACAACCCATGGGCCAGCACCAGATCAGGCTGGAAATGAAAAATGTAGAGCAAACCCTTGCTAAATCATCACTTGACCTACAGATCCCTGGAGGAGCACTTCTATCCAGCCATGTAGGTGTGGTGCACCTCTTCCTGCCTCTTCCCATGGCCATGATAAGATGGATGGAGGAGTGGGATTTTCCTGGTTTTCCACTCGGGGAGCAGGGCTTTGTGGTTTACTGCTGCCACAGATCAGCAGCAAATTATTAACAGCAAAGGGGAGGCTGAGATTTGATTCTCTTCCAACGTGGATGCTGAGGAGTACCCACAGTGCTTGGGGCAAAGATCCAATCTGGCTCTCTGTTGTTAGAGCTGGGGTTTCCACATGGGGTCATTAACACACACATAAATATAAACAACAAACACAGGATTTATAGTGACTCATATTCAAAGTGTAGGTGAACAAAAATTGATCTTTTAGCAGGAAGAAGGCTCCTCAGTTATGGGCACAATCTTATTTTCAAATAGCTACAAATATTAAATTACTCAACTCATTAATTGACTGTTCAGCTTTATGAGGATAAGCATCTGACTATGAAATCTCTTTCTCTCTTATTCTGCAGTACTGCCTCCCCCCTCCTCTTTTGTGTTTAGACCTTGGAAATTCAATGCACTATAAAAGCCATTAGAATTCTCTGGTGTTGTGAAGCTTAAAATCTTTGTAGTATCAAGCTTGTTATTCCAGTATGTCAATTTAATAAAGATTAGAAATATTTTTGGTCTGGTTCAAAAATTTGAAGACAGAAATTTCTAAATGAAGACCAGAAAAGTTTTTTTTGTTTGGTGCAAATGCCTATGACAGGACCTACAGATTGAAGGGATTGTGATGGAAAATGGAGATAAAACTTCAGAGATATTTTTGTTAAGCGTGCCTGTTTTTCAACCAGATCTTTACACATTAACAGATAGCAAAGTATGATACTCTGTGTGCTCTGCAATGACATACACAACACATGGATTTCCAAACAAGCATATGCAAACACATGATTAACAAAGCAGATTGTTACTCAAATTAATCCAAAAGCAGATTTTTCACTAAACTACTTATGGCAAATGAAAGTACATTTTGTAAAACTTTCTGTATCTGCTGTGTAATTTCACATATTGTGCTGTTGCCTTGGGGCTGAGCTGTTTCTGGCTGTGCATGTGAGTAGAGAGGACACTTTTTTGTGTGCTCACATCTGTGTTTGGAAGTTGTGGCTGCAGTCAGTGGGGAGCAAGGAGGGAGGGATGTGCAGAGCACAGGAGGAGCCCTAAGCAGGGCAATGGAGGAACAACTGCTTCATTTTTCTGCAGGCAGAAATTCCCAGCAAAAAAAGAGTGGAAGAAGCCATCCAGAGGCATCTCCCTACAAAGCTGCCTTGGTCCCAAACCACAGATGAGCTTTCTTTCATAGGTGGAAAGACTGAAGTCTTTGTGCTCACCTGATGATGCTCTGTTCCAACTTCCAGTTGGTGCTCACTTGCCTACCCCTCTCCTGCAAATATTTCCTCCTGGGGAGTCACTTCAGTGCCAGTCTGTATACAAGCCAATATTCCTTTGAGCTGTGTGGTGATTGAGGCAGACTTGGCCCCCAGTTCCATCTCAGCATGAGAGGGGATGAGAGAGAGTTGAATACTCAGCCTAGTCGTGCCTTTTCTTCTAATTTCTGACCTTTAAGTGAAAGCTGAGCTGTCCATGGCAGGACAGTAATGAGGTCTCCTAGATTTCAGTAACTGCTGGTCTATGGAGAAACCCCATTTTTCAGGAGGAAGGGGTTTCAATGCAAAGTCTCTCTCATCAGGGAGTTGAAGTGCATATTTTTGTTCACCTCAAACAGTGATAACAAAAAGCAAAAGGTTGTAGCATGATGGTTAAAAGGGAGCAATAGCATTGCTGGTTTTTTCTCCTCTAGAAGCAGGGCAAAAATTACCTGTCTTCATTTGATGAAGTCTTGTGTGGTAAAAAAGAAATTAATGTCACCAAAATGTTTATGGGTGCCCCCCCCCCCCACCTCTACCTGTGTAATGCCTTTTATGTAAGTAACCCAGCGAGGTCAAAGGAGTGGGAATTAACCCTCATTGCCCTGGACTGTCACTGGTATATCAGGTTCTCCTGGTTCCAAATGTTCTGCACCACTAGCTAGGCAGTGAGTGATCCGAGAAGAATAGAGGTGTCTTAATTACCTCACTGGTTCTCTGGAAACTCACAGTTGTCTTGTGTGTCATCACTGATAGCGAGCACTCAGGAAAGCAGGGAAAAGGAAATGGCCTCTGGTGTTCAAAATCCACCCTCTGAGAGTGACATATGACTTAAAGCTGCATGGACATTTTGCCTAATGAAGGAACCCCTTATCTTCTGAGGAGTCATAAAAACTGATAAATACCAATATTTCTGTTACTAAATGATATCATAACTGGAGCTAAATTGCCACCTGCAATGAGTAAATTAAATATTGACTATTTCATTGACTGTTAGACTTAATTTGAAGCAATCATGCAGGAGGTATAATGGCACAGAGGATGAGTGACTATTTAATCTTGTCATCCCTGGTAAGTGTTGAATAATGTGAAAAGTATCCACTTGACAGAATAAAGGAGTTGACTTTATCTTGGGTTTCTGTGCCAGGACTTCTACTTCAGAAATGTATAACAAAGCTGTTGGGAACAGCTGTTGTTGCAGGCTTGCCTCCCTGGTAATATGTCAGGATTTGGGTTCCTCAGCAGTGTGTCTACAAGACATCCAACCCAACTCTTTCCAGCAGAAATAGTTGTAGGAGCTAGCCAAGGGAATGGGTGCTTTTTCAGGAGCCTGTGTTCTGTGTTCAGAGCTCTCACTAACTACTGACTCCAAAATCCCCAACTCTCCCCTGAGAGTCCCGACACAGCTGTGCATCCAATTGCTCATTGAATCCAAACACCATCCCCAGAATCCAATCAAGCACCCACCTTGGGTAAACAATCTCCAGAGCACATTCCACATGGGCACAGCACATGAACAGAGACAATAATTGCTTTGATTCTTTCTCCTAACTTTCCCAGCTTGAAGCCTGCGAGAGCTCTCTCTGCTCTCTCTTCGACTGAGCTGAGAGCCTCCACATGGTATTTTTGCTATGTGCTCCCAATCCACGAGGAATGACAGTGAAAGTCAGAGGCAGCTAGCTCTTGAGTTGGACAGGAACAAGCTTGTTGCCATTACCCCCAGTTCCTACCTTTATTTCTGGTTTGTTTTCTTGCAAAGAAATAGCTGCAGACTGATCTTTAGTCTTCTATTCCTATATCCAACCAAGAGATCTGATATGAGTAGTTTGCTCTTTTGAGGGTACGATCACCTGTGGGTGAGAGAGGTGAAAACAAATTCCATGTTGAGGTTTGTAGCTGCTCTAATATTTATTATTATACAACTGAGGCCCAAACCCACTATTTGTGGCATAATCTGAATTCTGTTCATAGATATTACAGTGTTCTGCTGTACTGATGAGGATCTCAAAAGTCAGTGGCTTTGTCTGGGTAAATGCTTATGATCTTTTTTAAGTTTCATTTGATCATGGTCCCTCAGTTAAGTTAGTCTACTGATATTTATTTCATATGTCTAATACAGGCCTCAAATCCACCACTCAGTTTCAATTTAAGATAGAATTTGAGGGCTGGAAGTGGACTGGCATAGCAAACCAGGTTGAGCACTGGCCTCCTGCATGTGCTGAATTTCACTCTTTCCTTATTTATCTGAAATGACTTTGAAATTCTTGAGAATCTGAGTACAAATTGAGAAGGAAACAACAGACTGAGGGATTTGAAGAACAAGTTCAGTGAAAGATTTACTCAATGACTGAGTAAAGATTTTAGAATTTTGTGTTGCCCAGAAGAGAGTGTCTGTATGGGAAAAGTATTGACAAACAAATTTACCCATCAGTAAGACTGGTCTGTTCTGGATTGCAGTGCTCCAAATTGTTCACCTATTCTCAGAGGGAAGATCTACTCCATCTAAGAAATATTCCCTCCTGAAAACATTCAGGGGCTTTAATTGCATTAAATTAAATTCACCGTGGCTGCATTGTGTTTCAAGACAGCTGATAAATTAATAAATTAGATGAGCTAAAAGGGACTAAAAGTGAATATGGAAAAAAAACCCACTAAAAACATGAACTTACAATACAATTAGAATGCAATTAAATACATTGACTATGTTAATTTGCATAAAGCAAGGCTGCTGAGTTTTGTCATTAGTCTGAAATAAATGGATTGGGGTGAAATATATAATAAACAGTTCAGTCCTTGGGTGCAGCTGAGAAGCAGGAGAATTTCTGGTAACATGAGAGAACCTCAGTTCAGAGTGCATCAATAGCCAAATAAGCCAAAACTCTGGGTCCCACTTTTCAGTGAGCAAAGTCTCTCTCTTTAAGCTCTGACTGCAGGATAAGGTGTTTACCTCTGAACATTGCCTTAGAGACTGAAGATCTTCCTAAAAATCACTTTACAGCCCTCCCCATACCTTATTGTCCCACCTACCATGAGGAGACCTAAGCATTTAGGGGCTTCAGCAGATAAAGAACTTGTTGTTTTCCAGCTGAAAACACATTTCAGAATTATGATTTCCAGAGCAGCTCTGGGTTGCTGGTGCAACCAGGGAACCATGAATTTGGGCCAATTGCTTGGAAATTAGAGCCCAGTCAGAAGTTATTTAGCAGATACAGGATAAAGGGGTAAAGGTAGTACTGGCTCTTGGCCCTTTCCAAACATTTTAAAGCTGGGATATAATTGGACATTCCTTTAAAATGATGCTTTGTGTGAAATGCTGAAAAAGCATTATCAAAGGATAATCAAGATTATCAAATTCCACAGCAAGCATGCTATTCAGGAAAAACACTGATATATTCCCAGGAGACCTGTTCAAGAAGATGAATATTCTAACTCCTTTCAGACATGCCTGGCAGGAAGTAATAACTTCAGACCTAAGCAGGTTTTAATATTTTAACTGTAACAGTTGAAGTTGTTTTAAGGGAACATGCTTATCAGTAAATAGAAAAGAAAAAAAAAAAGGATAGAGTGGCTTTTTAATCTTGGAGCTCTGCAATAAATTATTAAATAACCAGGATCCAAATTTAAAATCATGAGCCACATCCTGATTTGGTGTAAATTATGGAATTCTTTTTGAGTGAATGGAATTACAGTGATTAATATCATCTGTCTCGTCTTCCTGTTTCTCAGAGGGAATAGATTTTTTTCTTAATTCTGTAATTATTCTTTGCATTTTGATAATTGGCCAGATATGATCTCAGACAACAAATACGTGTTTCTTCAAAATTGTGAATAAAACTGCTAGTGTCAAGAAAGAAAATATAATACAGGCTCACCAGAGAGAGGAAGGAAAACCAGATAATTACAATATTTGATTGCAGTTGTTTTTTCTCAGTCTTCTTTCCTTGATAGTAGACAGCTGGAATCAGACATTCTGAAATGATGACTTTAGATTAATCTTTCTTTTATGATCCTCACACAGGGTATTTTGTTTGATGTGGATGGCTGTTGCAAACTTTTTTGTGTTTGGTTTGTTGTTTGTTTGCGATTTTTTTTTGCCATGAAGTTGTATTCTATCTGTGTAATAGCAGCGAGACTGAAATGATGGTTGGAGATCTCAAACCTGGTGCTTTTTGAAGGATAGAAGGCGTTTCCATACGTGTGAGCTAGGAGTGAGCAGACAGAACAACTGAGCCATGAGGCTCAGATCAAAATCCTAGTCATGGCTTGAGAGATAGTTACCAGAATGGTGAAATGTCAGGAGCAGAAAATGCTAAAATCGTGTGTACTGAAGAGTTCTCATGATAAACCATGCCTCAGGATAGACGTGCAAATGAAGAGACACTTGGAGTGCAGTTGCTCATGGGTTAGCTAGTCGGGGCTGGCATCTCAGCTCAGTTGCTTGCAGGAAGATGACAGGACACAGTTCACATCCCCAGCATTGTGCAGGATGGAGCGAGTGTCTTCGGGGTGGGGGGCAGTGCCCTGTGCTCTGGGGGGGCTGCCAGCTGCTAGGCTGAGTCCACGTGCCACAGAACACTGATCATTTTCAATCTGGTCCCCTTAAAATGCCTCAAGGGAGTGCTCAGGATACCCCAGCAAGAGGCTTGATCTGAGCCTCCACAGGCCTGGCTTATGCCCATCTTATGCTTAAGGCTCTGATGCTGCTCTCCCTGTCTGCATTCCCAGAGTCATTACTGCTATTGTGTGAAAAGGCTGCAGCATGAGCCCCCTTCTCCTTCATGCTCCAGTTGCTAATTTTTAAAATATGCTGGAGGAAAAATAATGTGACTAATTAATTCTACTTTTTTCCCTTGCTGTTCTTTAAATGTAAGGTCAGATGTCTAATGAGAATTTCCATTGAGAATTACTCAAGGAAAATCCAGCCCAACAGTTTTTCTCCACTGTAAGATTCTTCTTAGATGAAACATTAGAAACAATTAAAATGTTTAAAAAGTTAATAAAGACCACTCTGAAGTGGGAAAAGGAAAGCCATGCTCATTTATTGAAGCGTTCAGATTGTTCTTACAGTATCCTCCAGTGTGTCCTTAATATTAATGTAATTAAGAGCAGAATTTTGCATCAATACATTCTTGGAAATCGTTCACTGAGATTTTTTGTCTTTTACTTTCCTGCATGCATTTTATCCTTCTTCAGCCCAGAGGATGAATTCTCAAGCTGGGCAGCTCTGGAAGGAATGAGGTGAAGAGGAAGGGAGGCATAAGGGGCAGGAGGCAGACGGGTGCTTGTATCGCTGCTGCTGCAGAGCCCCAGCAGCAGGTGGGAATTTGCTGCTTGGGCATTTCTTTCACAGCAAAAGGCCAGGCTGCTTTGTTGAGGGGATGCCTTCTTGACCCCCTCATCTTCCTCATGGCTGCACATGGAAGGAATCTTGGGAAAGGTACAGAGAGGAGGAAGAAGAGAGGCCAGTAGAAAGGAAAGAGGGAATGTTGTGACTGATGGGAAGAGCTGTTTGTCTCTAAAACTGTCCTAGAGGTTTGCATTTCTTGAATATGGCAGTCAAAAAATATTGCCACAAGAGAGGTGAGAAGCTTGAGCAAGACCCACTTGTGTCTCTGAACCCAGAGACACTGTGTGTTTTCACAGCTCCTGTCTTCCTCCCTCCCCAGTCTCATCTCTCCATGAAAAGCCCCATCTGTCCTGGCTATTCAAGTGGCATTTACACTTCAGTGGCCTCTGATCATCACTGTTCAGTGAATTCCTGTATGTTATGGGGGAAGAGGTACAAAATTAGTTTTTCAGCAATCGCTTCCAGTTTCCTGGTAAGAAATGATTTGAAGGCGTGGGGAGAGTGGAGCAGTGTTTTACAGAAATGTCTTCTTACTCATAGATGACATCATGATTACATCCCAGTGACCAAAAGAAAAGAGAAGAAAAGGGCTTTTTAATCTGGCTATTTTCTGATATCCTCCAGATCAAAAAGCATTTTCCCCCTCTTCAAACTCAAGCCACTCTTACTAAGGGGACTGCATTCATGTCAGGAAACTTGAGTTCTGCCTTTTTCCTGGGAATTAGCACTGGAAACTTTAGAATATCACTCAGTTTACACACACCTTCAGCCACTACTCAGATGCCTTTAGCTGGTTGTGGATGATTAGAATGAAAATGGAGTCATCTCAATCTTTTATCACCACAGAATTTACCAGTCTGTAGATTTTATACTGAAAATAAAGGACTAATTTCTTAGCATGTCTATTGACATAAGTAAGCAATAAATTCTTCAGGCACCTAAAAACCTAAAATGAAGGAAAGGGGGGGAAAAGGTTGCAAATGGGAAATTAAGGCCTTTCCTCCATGTTGCAATAGAGTAAAAATTAGCAATAATCACATATCCCCAGGATGTTTAAATATATTTCTATTTTAACATTTTCACACTAAGAATGTAATGTAACAATGACATTTCATCACTAATGGCATAACAGCTGCCTGGGGAAAACTATAATGTAAACAAAACACTGTTTGTTAGCTTTATTGCTGCATGTGTGCTGTTCATTAACAAATGAAAACTTTATTCAAACTAATTATTTCTTTACTTTCTGGGAGCAGTAATACCAACAGTTAATGTTGCAGTTTGCACTTGTCTCTGTAGCGTGGCCTACACACAAATAGTACTGATTGAAATAAATTGGCTTCTAAATCAATTTAATAAATTCATTGCAATCCTGTTGCAGGCATTCTTTAAACTGAATGAAGCTAACATGATATTAGCTCTTCTTAGGCCAATCTATGTGTTCTTGCTTGGAAGCTGCTCTAATTTAACAAAATTGAATTAGAAACCAATTTAGTTAAATAG